CGAGAAGACCAACGGCTGCGGCTACTGGGACACCAACTGGGACAGGTGGGGAAGAAGCGGTGGTGGTGGTGGTGGGGAGAGACCCTCCCGGGGTGGCCTCCCCTCCCTCTCTCTCTCTCCCTCCCCCCCTCGGGCCACCCCCTTTCCAGGGCTATTTGGGGGGGGCGGAATAATTCGGCTTTTCCCAAACCTTAGATCAGCGCCCCCCCGTCAATGGGCAGCTCCAACTGGAAAAAGTATTCATTATCATAACGAGTCATCAGCATCCCTGGGGATCAGGAACGTCCGGGACCAGGTGAAGCCTCCCCCCCCCCAAAAGCAAGGGATACCTAAATTAATAATCATCATCTGCCACCCAGTTGATTCTGACTGACGGCAGCCCCTTTTCAGGGTTTTTCCAGGGAGAGAATGCTTAGAAATGGACTTGCCCCCATTCCCTTCTTCTGTGGGTCATCTTGGGACTGTGCGCAGCTGGCCCAAGGCTACCCAGGCTGGCAGAAAAACACAGCGTGGGGGAATCGAACTCCCAACCTCTAGCTCGACAAGAGACCTAAAGCCTCGAGCTCTCCAGCCAGCTAGGATGGGCATGGGGATTTTGAAGCCTGTTTGGTTTCTGTGTTGAGGATAGGAGAGGGATCGCATGGGTTCTGTGTGTGTGTTTGTGGTGTCAGTCCACACACTCGTGGTTGGCTGCGACGTCCAGTGAGCCGCCTTTTCACCACGGTGGAAAACGCCTGCACGGAAGAGGGAAGGTAGGGTTCGAAATCGAGGTCTAGCAAAAGCTGTTGGATGTGATTGCCGAACGTTCAGGAAACAGTGTTAGATTCGTTTCTTCTCCTTCCCCATATTGAGTTTAACAATGCAGAGTTGTCGACCAGACCAGATGGGCGGGGTATAATTCAAATAAATAAATAAAATAAGCTAAAGAAAGTTATTAATGGAAAGTGTCTCCATTTTGTTGAAAGGTCAAAGAAAAAAGGAGGCAGTCAATAAACCCTACTGAATAGCTTAGTAAGTTAATACCTGGCCGTGGAGCCAGAGTTTAGGGGTTCGATCCCCCCCCCGGTGCCTCCTGGAAGAGCCAGCCTGGGTAGCCTTGGGGAAGCTGCACAGTCTCACGGCACCATCCAGAAGAAGGAAATGGGAAACCACTTCTGAGTATTCTCTGCCTAGGAAACCCTGAAAAGGGTCACCGTAGATCAGAATTGACTTAATGGCACACAATTATTATTAAACCTTAATACAGGTAGATACTAACTGCCCCCCGAGTTAGCTGTTTTGAATGAAGTGGCCTTGGATAGAGATTATCGAAATGGAGGAGAGCACTAATCAGCAGTTTCACAGGATTTAGATTAATTTCGCAAGACGGTTATGGTGGTGTTGAGCCAAATGCATGGATCCTGATACTCATATTGACAAATAACTAACCGTGGTTGTGGAAGTATTATTTTCAGCCTTACAAATTTAGGGTGGCTTTGTAGAGTGGTTTTGCTAACATTTGGCAGTTTAGGTGAAACCTCAGTGCTAGGTTTGGTTAAAGAATCACAAATGTGCCCCTATCTTTAAGGAGTGTCAGATAATACCAGGGTGTTCCTGGTGGGACACTTGCTAGTGTAAGTTCATTAAATAATTTACTGAAAAGTTACTGTTGAACCCAATGTATCCTGTCTCCAGCTTTGATAAGATATTTGGTTTGCTCACTCGCTTTCTTCAGACATGATTTTAATTCAGATGAAATAATAATTCAGATTATTATCCCTGTGGTATTGCTTGTACACTTCCGTTTCCCAGCAATAAAATGTACAGCATAATAATGCATAATATGATTAAGAACACAGTTTCAGCGCATATTCTCTTGTTAGCACTTTTTTCTAACTCAATTGAATTAATTTCTGGAGGGGTTTTTTGTTGTTGTTTAATTCCTCCCCAGATTAACAACACTAAATCTGAACAAATGTCCTTCTGGCTTTCAATTTCATGATGGGTTTTAGTTCGTGGGTGTGTGCTTAAGTACACCGAGTGACAGGATTATAACAGGCATGTTATGTGGTGACATTCCATCGGATTTGATTATTCTCCTCTCTGACACATTTCTCAAGTATAATGAAATGTAGAAAGAATAGCTTGTGTCACATTCCAAATAATGCTTAGTATATGTCACATTCTATTAAGTGACAGTGTTATGGTGATAATCAAGAGTGTGGGGCTTGAACTACCATAATATGCTTTCAAATGATGACCAGTTGTAAAACTTCCCAGAAAACAGGAACAGGATGTAAAATCCTGGCAATAGGGTCATCACATTTCGGAAGAGCGTAGTTTCACTTCGGTTGATTCTTGTTCCAGAAGTTAAAGCAGCCTAATGATTCTCCTAGAACAGTGATTGTGAACCTTTTTGAGCCCATGTGCCCAAACTGCGGAACAAATCAACTTATTTATTTCAAAGTGCCAATACTGCAATTAAAGCCCGAATGCTGTGTTTTTAGTTTAGAGAAAACAACTGCCCCTGCACTGCAAGGGTTAAATGCTTGTGTTTTTCCTATGGGCGGTATTAACAAAGAAATACTGGTCCTCCAATCCCCCATTGGGCTAGACTGGTAATGGTCGCCACTGCACCCCTCCGCTGGACCACTGCACCAGCAGAGGGGAGTGCCAAAATCTAGGATCGAAGGACGGGCAAGTATTTCTCTATGGCGACTTATGGCTTGTGTGCCTACAGAGAGAGCTCTGTGGGCCAGCTGTGGCACGCGTGCCATAGGTTCGCCATCACTGTCCTAGAACGTACATCTGTATATACTTAATAAAAACCTAAAGCCATGATCTGAAATTTAGTGTAAACATTGGTCATGCTGAAATGTGGAATGGCTCTTCCATCCAGCTGTACACCTGGGGATTGGGAAAGAAGTAGCCAAATCTCCATGTTCAGATTCTTTACACTTACTGTTTTTAAGCAAGTTGCTTTCCTTTTTGACTTTGTAAATGACCGGCTTTTTCATCACTTAAGAGAGCAGATGTCACAGAGTAGTGGCATTTCTCAATGAGGAACGCATGAGAGATGTTCTTGACTGCCTTGCCAGAATTGTGGGTGGCCGAGTTGGCTTTATCCAAAGAATGAAGAGCACTGAATTTGCGGCAGAGTTGCGTTATATCGCCTTTGCATGTTTGGTTACCATGTTATGTTTCGATATAGAAAGATAAAATCTTGAACGTTGCTTTCAGGAGAGAACCGTTGGCTCTTATGAACCTGAAGAAGAAGAACCAGGAGACAGGGGAGGAGGAAGTCTCGGCTCGACTTTCCCACTACAAAGCAAAAGCTACCAGGCACATATTCCTCATACGCCATTCTCAGTACCATATGGATGGGCAAAACGATAAAGACAGAATTCTGACACAGTTGGGTAGGTATAGATAAGCAGTCGTCTGGAAGGGATAGCTAAGGAGAACGGTTTTATATCTGTATTCAATTCCCGGTTTAACTCCAGAAGAATTTTTCCAATGTAGGTTTTCTGTATGTATTTATTGGATAGCTTTTCAAGCAAATCACTCCCGGGGTATCTTGATTGTGTGTTTTGGAACTAACTTGCAGTGACCCAAATAGGGCTTTTCAAAGTAAGGGGGATATTTACGGAGTGGTTTTACCAGCTCCACTCCAGTTTCCGTGGCTGAGCGGGGATTTGAACCCTGTTCTCCAAAGTCCTAGTTCATCACTGTATCCACTGTACCACATGGGGAAACCACATAGGCAATCTATACTGTTGACTCTTAAATTTTGAATCTGGTGGCAGACCCTCCCAAAACATTCTTCCTAATAGTCCTCCTAATGCTGTTATGGTCTTTTAAGCTGCTCTTTAAAATTTTTAGAGTTGATAAAGCTGTGTCTATGACAATGAACTTGTCTCATTGACAGTTCTGCCTACCTAGCTACTTCTGCTTTTTACTTCCTGTGCCAGCTGTTCGGTGCTAACAACAAGCAAGCTTTGTGGTTTATCTAGGAGCTCCAGTAGGAAACCACAGAAATTGGGGGAGGGGGGGGAGCTGAATGTGTGGCTTTTCCCTTGTCTGCAAGCATTAAAGGGCTTCTGGTTTCTGCAATGCCAGAGTTGGTGCGGAGTCAGCTGCATGCAACATTCTTACTAGACTTGCTGTTGAGAACAGAGCAGGAATGTGGAAGCTGGTAGGCCCATCGTTGGTGCAGTTTTGTCTTGAGTGCTTATATTTGGCTGTAATCTCCATGGACAGAGCTTTATAAAGTGACTTGAGGATTCCTCGCCTGTTGATAAGAACTGTGATACTTCCAGAGTTCTGCTTGACAGTGACATAGTAAATGATTATTGTTTTTACCTGATTAAAGAAATCATAGTTGATTAGGACTTGTAGTTTATTAATTCTTAAGTTTGCATATGAGAAGCAAATCATTCTAAAGGAAATATATACAGTGGTGCCTCGCTAGACAGTTACCCCACATGACAGTTTTTTTGCTAGACATTGACTTTTTGCAGTCACTATAGTGATTAGCAAAACAGTGATTCCTATTGGGGAATTTTGCTGGACAATGTTTGGTCCCTGCTTCGCAAACCGATTTTTACTGGACGATGATTTTGACGGCTCCCTCCGTGCTCACAAAACAGGTGCTTTCAGGAACCTAAGCTTCGCAAGACAGCGATTTAAACAGCTGATCGGCGGTTCACAAAGCGGCTTTTCTATGGCCGATATTCGCTTGATGACGACTATTCTTCCCCATTGGAACGCATTAAACAGGTTTCAATGCATTCCAATGGGGAAATGCTTTTCGCTAGACAATGATTTCACTAAACAGCAATTTCAGTGGAACGGATTATCGTCTAGCGAGGCACCACTGTATATACTTTCCCAGCCTGGTGCCTTCCATGAGTGTTGACTCATGATTGGCTCTTGTCCTGGCCTTCACAGCCAGTGATAATGGATTGTGAAATGTGTCATCCAAAAAATACAGGGGGCATCAGGTGGTAGAAAAGTTCCCTTGTTGCAACTTAATCTGTAATTAAGACTCAATTTTAAAGTATTTGCAGCTTCTCAAGTCTGTTCTTGCTTTTCAGGCCGTGAACAAGCCGAATTGACAGGAAAAAGGCTTGCAAGTCTGGGCCTGAAATATGATAAAATTGTACATTCTTCCATGACAAGAGCTACTGAAACAACGAACATTATCAGTAAATACCTTCCTGGTGAGTATATTCAGTTTGAAATCCTGGGAGTAGAATTACAAGTTATCAGTGGTTTTCGTAAAGTCATGGTGGCTGACTTAACTGGTTGCGTTGTGGAGTTTTTAATTTCACAGATCTTTCAATTGTTTGTTCTTGGTAGCCAATAATTTCGCTCTGATATGTTAAATAAAATGAGTGGTTTGGACTCGTTTTGCTTGGGATTTGGTATGGAGACAGCCTTGGTCCCTCTTGACTAGTGACTTTCAGACTGTGCATAAACTGTAGCAAAACCACACCGTTGCAAGAGTGGGGGATCCCTTTGGTAGATAACTGAAAATTAAACAAACCACAAGCTTTCGTGGGTAAAATCCACTTCTTCGGGCCATCCATCAATACCTTGTGGATTGTACAGAAAAATTGTAAATGAGGGTTCCACAAAATACTTCTCAGAGGTGAATTTAAAGCTGGCTGCAAACAGACTTTAGGAATGTGTATGGTTTCAAGCATCACCCCCTTGGTCTTTGGAGTTTTCCACCCGGCCCTTTGTTTACAAAGCTTGCGGGGGGGTGGAATCTCAGCCAAAGGCTAATGGGATGAAGTTTGAGATCACATCCCTGTCGAAAATGTTTTAAAGTATTAATAAACAAAGACTGTTCTTCACAGGTTTTATTTCCTTTTATTACAAGAGCATGTATGGAATGGTACAGGGTACTCTGGGTCAAAGGCAATGATGTACAAAAGCAGACACGTTCTATAACTTTTCGTAGTCCTAAAGTAACCCTAAACGTCAGCCACCTACTTAACTCCTCCTTTCACTGTCACGTACACTCCTAGACAGTACATTATGTGGTTTTGGGCTTAACTTCTGGTCAAATTCCTCTTTTCTGACGCTCTTAGGGGAAGGGCCTTATGATTCAAGCATATATCAGACTTTAGTGTCTACCACCAGGCTTTTGACTCATAAGTTTTAACTTTGTGTGGGAAATCAAACCACAATCCCCTGTGCCTGTTATTAATACAATTCTTAATTAACATGGTTAATAGGAACTATTTTCTGACGCACCCCCAAAGGCCATTTTCAGCCAGCTTTGAAGTCCTCGAGGCGAGATCACAGAGCCACCTTGCCATGAATTTTTTGAGACTCTCATTTGTAATTTTTTTCTGCATGATTCCCACAGAATACTGGTGCTTGGTCTGAAGAAGTGGACTTGATCCACTAAAATTGCTGTTTGTTCAGTGTTTTAGTGGTCTTAATAAATCTATCACATACTCTTGCATTTGTGTAATTTAAAAAACCCATACAGCCTTTTCCTCTTTTTTTTCCTGTAGCAAAACTGTCTGTCTTAGTTGCATAAAATAAGTACTTTCCTCTTTTTTTTCCTGTAGCAAAACTGGCTGTCTTAGTTGCATGAAATATGGTTTATACTCTTTAAGCTTGCTAAACTCCCCGGCCATCTCAGCCCCCAACCAAAAAGAAGAATCAAAAGATCCGTCCGTTCTTGGAGTGAAGATTGTGATGGTAGATCCTTGGGGACTCTGAATGTGCCTTATCCCCTGGTTCCAGACATAATGGATATTGCACAATGTAGCACAAAGTCCTCGGATCACCTGGTGTTATTCCTGATTTGTAATGGCCTCAGTTTGGTCTGATATATGATTGCAGACAAGTACAAAGTCTGAGCCAACCTTTTGAGAATTGTGCAAAATGGTCCTTGAATCTGTATAACTGATAACGCATGCTCTCTAAGAAACAGGCAGACAAGGAACATCTGTCAAAAAGGTCATCTTAGTTAACATTTTGGAATGCAAGCAAACTGAGAGATTGCATGATCTCTAGCACTGATAATTTATCTTTTGGGGGCTTGTAGGAGTCAGCAGTGGCTGATAGCTGGAGTGCAGGGAGAAGGCTGGAATTAAAGGCATTTGTTGCTAACACAAACATTGAGTGTCCAGGGAGTGGCGGTGGACCAGATTTAGAAAATCCAAGGTTTAAAACTTGAAGGGAGCAAAATGGATATTGACAGAGGGTAGAGGTAAAAAGTGTAAGAAAAGTATGCAAGTGAGAAACCAAATGGACATATGTCAGAAGCATTAGGGTAGAAGTCTATTTGATTCCTTCTTAGGAAGCATATCGTATCTGTTATGTGGATTCAAGGACTATTCAAGGATCATCAGGATAAGGAACATTCAGAGTCTGTAAGTCTATACCATCCCAATCAATTGCAAAGCAAGAGAAGGCACTGTGACATTGAGGTGGCAGTTGAGTTGGAAGGCCAAAAGAGGCTCAGAGGTCCAGTGGCTGCTAGACTCGAAATTTAGAGATGAGGCTACAAGATTCGATTGAGGGCGTGGTCCTCGAGGTTCTCATAAAGCCTGTAAAATCCCGCAAATGCTCTGAACAGTTCACCTGCAATTAAGCGTGTATGTATGTAGGCGTGATACCCCCAGGAAATAAGGGAAAAAATATTCTCATGGCACTTAGAATACATGTCTTTTCTATCTTTGAAATCCCAATATGCTCTTTTGTTTCCTTTCCCTAGGAGTGTCAAAATTGAGCACGGACCTGCTACGAGAAGGGGCTCCAATTGAGCCCAACCCACCGAGCAATCACTGGAAGCCGGAAGCTGTGGTAACCTTTTGCGCAAGCAGTGGCAGTGATAGGATATTTGGCTTGTCTCAAAACTAGTTTCCTCGGGCAGGCTTTCTGCTCGCCAACCCATCCTAAGGTGTTATCTTGGCGACATCTGTTTTCCTCAGCCTGCCGGAAAGCAGAGTAGCCCTTTTGTCCTGCTCCTAGTTATAAAGGTGACCGGTTCTGGTAGTGAAAATATATGGACCAGTCTCCTGTTCGGCATCTACCTTTCCTCCCAAATTCCGGATCTGAAAGCTGCTGCGGTAATCTGACAAAATACAAGTTGGGGACTTGGTGAAATGCAGCCAGCATCTTGTGAGGTCACTGGGGCCCCTTTCACTATTGGTAGTCCTGCAGGGGCATCAATATTGAACCAGAGAGTAAAATCATTTGCAATAAAAGCAGAAATGAATTGGCTTCAAACTTGAGCTCAACAGCTGTAACCTTCCTGTTTAAAATTGGCTGATGCGGATCTGTAGAATGCCTAAAAAGAAAATGTTTTCGGAAGATACCAAGAAACCCTGCCACATTACCTTGAATAGGAGACTCTCATCAACATTAGAGCGTGTCCCCCATCATCCCCAAGCCAGCAAGGCTGATGACAAAAGTTCATGGCGGGTGGGGGGGTGAGGGTATCAGGTTGGAAATGTTTCTTCTAATGGCATTGCTGCTAGTCAAGAAATGGTCAAAGACCAAAATCAGGTTTATAATGGAACAGATCAGTACATCTGGAAAATGGTACTAAGATATATAGGCTGCTTAGGTTTTTGAAATGCAAAATCCAGAACCTGGCCCAGAGGTTATGTGTGGGCAAATTCTTGCCCATTGTTAAATCTCCAATAGCTGATGCTTTTCAAGAATCCCATCATGTAAGGCTCCTTGCAGTAATCCATACTCAGGATATAGAAATCCTCACATGTCTTCTTTCTGTACATAGTGACAAGAACCCCTTTTTTCCCTTGTTAGAAAGTGAGATCTTCTCCGTCTTGTATTTGCGGGAATTATTATTGTGCAAATAACGTGAAGTGTGCAAATGTATTGTAGCTTCTGCTTTGTTTAATGGACTTCTAAGAACTAGAAGCTTTGATTGGTCTGGTGGCATCTTTGAACAATGCCCCTAGACTTTGTGTACTTTGCTTCTTAAAGGGAAAGGACACTAGTTTTGCACAGAGACATTTTGCAAAGAATTTGACCCCCCACTTCCAAAGGGACTTTTACACTGGAGGTGAGGAATTCTTAAGTTTAACAGTGCTTCATTCCCTCACGATAGCCTTAATCAGTCAAAATGAATAATTCAGGGAGTGCTGGTCACATCCTGTTATCTAAGTAGGAGATGACTAGGGTATGGCTGATCATCTGCATCAAAAGTTTGATTAAGGAGGCTAGGATCCTTTTGTGCAGCTGACTCTGAGAAGACAGCTTGCTCAGATTTTTAATATTTATATCAATAACCAGGGTTTCATGTTCTAGTAGTTTAGACTTAATGATAAGGTGGGCTTTGGGAAGGTCAAGGTCGGCCAAGGTTTCAGGGGATAGGTCGAGGGTGGAAAGCTTAGCATCTACTAGTTTGAACCAGTTGGATATGTGAGCAGTAATCCATACTCAGGATATAGAAATCCTCACATGTCTTCTTTCTGTACATAGTGACAAGAACCCCTTTTTTCCCTTGTTAGAAAGTGAGATCTTCTCCGTCTTGTATTTGCGGGAATTATTATTGTGCAAATAACGCGAAGTGTGCAAATGTATTGTAGCTTCTGCTTTGTTTAATGGACTTCTAAGAACTAGAAGCTTTGATTGGTCTGGTGGCATCTTTGAACAATGCCCCTAGACTTTGTGTACTTTGCTTCTTAAAGGGAAAGGACTCTAGTTTTGCACAAACATTTCGCTTCCAAAGCGACTTCTACACTGGAGGTGAGGAATTCTTAACAGTGTTGTTCCCTCACGACAGCCTTAATCAGTCAAAATGAAGAATTCAGGGAGTGCTGTTCACATCCTGTCATCTAAGTACAAGATGATCAGGGTATCATCTGCATCAAAAGTTTGATTAAGGAGGCTAGGATCCTTTTGTGCAGCTGACTCAGCTTGCTCAGGTTTTTAATATTTATATCAATAACCCATTATCTGCTTTCAGCAGTATTACGAAGACGGAGCTCGAATTGAAGCTGCTTTCCGGAACTTCATCCATAGGGCTGGGGTAAAGCAGGAAGAGGACAGCTACGAAATTTTTGTCTGTCACGCCAATGTCATTCGCTACATCGTTTGCAGGTAACGACAAGGTTGAAGAAAATCTGGTAGCGGTGGCGAAAAGCTGCTGAAAGTTTGGCTTTTAAATCGCGTTAGCACCACGTTGCTATTATACTAAAAAAAAATCAAGCGCGGTGAGCAAGTCTGAGGTATTTAGGATGGATCAGTGCCCAGTTATATGAGCAGCTGTCCATAGACCATATGATTGTCAGATTAACTGGAAGCCTCGACTCTAATCCTTATTTTTAAGCAGAGGATTAAAAAACGAACAAACCTCCCATACTAAAAATATTTTGAAGTTTGAAAATAAAACAACGGCTGTACCCGTGGATCTGTTGCAGAAGGTCTCCTCTTTGGAGAGTGATCTAGAGGTTGTGCTGCTTGCCCGGGACCTCCCCCCCCCCCCTCTGAGATCACCTCTCCCAGACATTAACAATTTCTGGACTCTTCAACTACAAGTTTTCTGCACTGTCCATGAAGCGGTAGTGCTTAGCCTGAAGAAATGGGATTCCACCACAAAAGCTTGCAATTGTTTTTTGTTTTTTTTTAGTGGTCCAATAAAAGGCATCACCCACTCTTACATCTGGGTAATCTTGGAGAACTATACAGTCTTCTCCTTGTTCTTTAGATTGAACAGTAATCCTAGCTGCTAATATATCTCTTGGTTGGCAGAAGGGAGACGTGAAGCCAGGAGACAGACATTGAAATATTTATAATCCTTCTGAAAATAAATGGCAGCTTCATCAGTCCAGTCTCAAACTCCTCTTTGCATCTTTTGGTCTGAAGGTTTTTAACTGTTGGTTCTGGGATTGTCACCACCTAAGTTCAGTCTGGGGTCCCGATAGGGATCCAGAATGGTGTGGACACAAACTTTGCTTAGTGCCGTTAGCCTCTGATATGAACCATATTGCCTCTTGGGTTGATATATCGATAACTTGCCAACAATTATGGATAGAGATGGGCACAAAACATCACTTTGGTCTTGAACCAAAAGTTCACGTTCCTCTCTAGTTATGGTCAGTTGCTACATTCTGTGATGGTGTTCAGAGAACCTAAAGTCTTACACATTCTTTTTATGGATTTAAGTTTTGAAATGATTTTTCTCATACTCAGTTCTAAACAATGAAAACGCCTGCTTTTCCTTCTTGCAGAGCATTGCAGTTCCCCCCCGAGGGTTGGCTCCGGATATCCCTCAACAACGGCAGCATCACCCACTTGGGGATCCGTCCCAGTGGCAGAGTGGCCCTGCGAACGCTTGGCGACACAGGATTTATGCCTCCTGAGAAAATCACACGCAACTGAGCCTTTCCGAAGCTGCTTGTAGACTCTCTGCACCAATACAGCTGTTGGTACTAGGATAATGAACCTTAAAGTGGCCCTCAACAAATGCCTATTTCTCCCAGCATCCTTGCTTCATTTATATGTAACCAGCAGGCTGTTAAGCCTAGAGAAGGGCGAGACCGTTGGCACATTCCACCAAGTACTGTTGCTATACAGCCTCAGTGAACTCTTGCACCTGCTAGGATTAGCTCTGCAGCATTACAATGAATGGGATCTTTGCAACAGTACTTGATGGAACGTAGAGATGAAGGTGAGACTACCTTTTTGAGGGTTATCATATGGCTGGCTGCAGTAGGTGAGCGCCCCTGCCTTCTATTCCAAAGCATATTCTTAGCATGGAGAGGATACTTCCTCCCACCTTCTGTGGAAAAGAGGATACAACTCCTACGGGCTTAGAAAGCCAATGGCTGGTTTCACCACTCGTCTAGAAATTAACTTTGGTATCTAGATGGGGGCGAAGGCCATATTAACAAAACTGTGCAGAAGGGCTTCTACAGCTGCACTGTGGGCTACTCTTCCAGTAAATGTAGAAATGTGGAGTTCCTCTTATGGAGTTGCTCACTGGTATTTCAAATAGCTGCGGCTTACATAGGACAGAGAACCAGAATTGTAAATCTGGACCTTCCGACTGAAAACCCGAGAGAGAGGCAAATGACATGGACAACACTTTCAAAGTGAAGATGCCAGCTTTAAGGACAAAGAAATGACCCATCTCTTTCTACTTAAAGAAGTTGTTGCTTTCTTACCCCATGCTTCCTTCTCACTAATGGAAAGGACTAAACTGGACCACGGCCATGCCGTGGCACCATCAGAATACCTAACCCTGTGTCATTTTGTCACCTTCTTGCTTGGAGTATCTGGGGACAATTAGGTGCTGAACTAAATCAATTTAGAAATGGGTCTCTCTGTTCCTGCAGAAGAAAACATTGATACTATTCTATATCCATGAAAAAGGACAGAGATATGTCTTTCAATGAGTGCAGGAAATTAAGTTATTCTTACGGCTTTGTAAAGCATCCGTGAAAATAAATGTTTGACTTTCACATGAAGTTTCCCTGAAATTAGAATTATTGAAATAACAGTGTTCTGTCCCTGATGACTATCATACCCTTTATTTCAAGTGATTTTTTAAAAGGCTATGTTGCAGATGCTCCATGTATATGACCTTGCCTGTATTTTTACAAAATGAAGTCCATTCTGTATAGGTAACTACACTTGAGCCTGTTGCCCAGTCTAAGACATGTTCTCGTTCCATGGCTGCTGAACAGTACTGAATGTTTTGCTTAAGCCTCTTAGCATGCTTTTTGGAAGAAAGGATGTTGAAAATGTTTCTGCACTCCTGGACAGCTATAACATATGCTAACACCACTGAGCAGCTGCTTATAAAACACATAAGCCTAATATGCACAGAGCCACTAAATGGTAAGAGGGAGAGAGGAAGCATTTTAGCGAAACAAATTTAATAAGATTGTTATAAATTCACTTGAACACACTAACAAAAAAAGGACTAAATTGTGAGACATCAGTATTTTGTAACATCAATCCTTTGGGGCCTCCCCATCACAAGACAAGTGTTAAACTGACAGTTTGTGCTCCAGAAACTCTTGAATACAAAAAAAGGCATGTAACAAGAAGTATCAAAGCAAAGGAAGGCTTGTAACAAAATGTTTTTTTATAAGTCAGTTGCTTATGTTTTTTTTGACGAAAGTTTTCCGAATGGTAAACGAGAACACCTTTTCTATACATTTGTGAAGAAAACATTGCTACAGGAGAGCCGATGACAGCCCCAGGCAGATGGTGTCTTCCATTTTAAGAAACTGTTACGATTTCATTTTCAGTATTGTCAAAATTTCCGTACCTGCTGATGTACTAGAATATGTACTATTTTTAGCCAGCTGTTTACTCGGGATTTCCTAGACAGGTGAAGAATTTACAAGAAGTAATTTCTAAGTATGGCCCCTCTAAAAATTGCAGCATAGAACTTGGGGAAAGTGTCTCTAGTGTCAGAGTACGTTAGCTCAGAGCATGGAAGAAACATATTCTTGGACAGAGATTCCCAGAATTAATCACGGTCATGCTTTCTGGGGGAATCTTGTCCAAGAAAATGATCTCTCTGTGATCACATTGTGCTGCAGTTGTAAGTTACACAGTATAGGAAGCCAGCTTCACCAAACCTATATGTTTACTGGAAAATGGTACCCCTGACACATATGAAGGCTAACTTTAATAAAGACCTATACTAGAGTAAAGCTGCTTGTTTTATACTTAAATGACTATACAAGTGGCATTATAAGAGCCATCTAAATCAACTGGAAGTATCTGTAATTTACATTTATGCCACCTCTAATTAATGTACAGATTAACAGATGGATGTTTAGAGCATCTCCCCAAATCTTTAAGCTTTAAAGGATAGCATTAAAGGGACTTGTTCAGAAGTGTTGAAAAGTTAAAACATGGTTAGTGCTTACCCAAGGGATCCACATACACACTATTAAAAGCAAGTCAAAACATACAAAATGAAAATGTTACAAAAGGCACTAATAAAATTGGAAGCCTTAAGTGCAAATCTGGAGTTTTGTACCAAAACGTTAAAACATTCAGGAACGATATACAAAAAGCTCATTACACTTGGGGTAAGGCAGGGGTGGGGGTGGGGATTAAGTGGTCCTCCAGATGTTAACGGAGTGCAGTTGTCACCAGCCCTAGCCAACATACTCAGTGGTGAGGGAATGGATGGGAACTGTCATTCCATACCTGAAGGACCAGCCCTGGTCTAAAGAAACCACCAAATGTCCCTGATGTTGTGATGATTTCAAGTATAAAAGAAAATCCCCATCTGCTCTGTTAAAGCTCTGTGCCAAACTACTTCCCCCATTGGCAGCAGGATACTTATGCTTGATCAGCTCGGTCTGATTATCCTCTCTAACAGCTCCTGCGTTCACTAGGGTGGTTATGTGTACTAAAAGGCATAAGGAAAGGTTCCAAATGAATAGAACCGAAACTGTAGATTTGGGTATGGGTGAAAGGCTCATTATTAAATTGTGTTGGAACTGTAACTGCAAGTTAGCAGAGATACACACACAAAACCCAATGTTTTAGTGGAACCACTTACATATTCAAGAGATTCCACATATGGAACTAATTTTGACGTTATTTGTTTGCATACATCAAAACAATGATCTGGACAACAAAAGGGAAAGGCCAGTGATGAATCAGGTGGCGTTGCTAAAGAACTCTTACGTAAGAGCTGCAAAATCAAATCATGATGAAGGAGGAAGAAGGCTCACCATTCATTTCAGTTATTTAGCTTTTTGTAACATTTCAGTACAGGACACTGATGCTTTCACTTGTTCTTTTAAACTAATTCTAATAAGAATAGTGACGGACAAAACATTTGACAAAAGCCATCTATTTTGAGAAGCAGCACCCTCTCCCCCACCCCCTCACCTGGAAGACTAACAGGAGAATATAAACTTGATACCTTGAGTTCCCTACTGTCGAGAGTTGCTACATGTAAAAGGGATCTCTCTAAGAAGGGTGGGAGAAATGGACCTTTTGATTCACGTGCCGAAAAGCCAGTACTATTCACAATCACCTCTGATAAGTGTTATGCTTACTGCTCAGGTACTTTAAACACGTAACCGCTCCTAATCTACAAGTTGGTAAATGGAATGAAGACATTTTCTGCCAAAGCAGCCTCTTTCCCCAACAACAATAAATAAAAAGGGATCAGGGAGACACCACACTAAGTGTTCGACACCCTAAATGTTTTCCTCCGCTTAAAATACTTAGCTGCAAGCGCTAAGAGAGTCAATTTCTAATGAATAGGTGGTCCTGAGAGATGGTGCCGTTTCGACAACAGGTTCACGTAGGCTGGGCTATACCGTCCTGGGCTCCCAAAGTCTCGAGAGAAGCCAGTGGCCGGTGTGCTGTACTTTCCTGGGCTGCTTTTTCCTGGGCTATAATAGGCTGGGCTGCTGGATGGACTCGAAGCGGACTGAGACTTCAGTTTTCCTTTCAGCGATGGGCTTGGCCAGCTGAAAGAAAAGGTCACACGCTTTATAGATCAGAAGTTTAAAAGACGGAAGGTCGAATTGGCTATGAAAGGCTTTATGCTTAATAGATATTTAATATTAACACTCATAGTGGAGAGGAGAAAAAATAGGGGGAGGAACAGAAATGCAGGGCTGGGGCCCATTTCACACAATACTATTTGCAACAAAAATAGCTATTGTCCTTGGAGAATGACCCTGTGCAGGGGATAATGCTCTGAACATCTACGCAGAACAAAGTTTTTGCTGTACGGACTTCAGTATTACAGTAGGACTATACAAGTTCTGGTAACTTCATCATTAGAAATATATATATATTTATACTTCCGGGAATTTTTCTTTTAATATTTTCAGACCGTGGATAAGTGAATCAGCGGATACTAATTCTCCTAGCTATGATAAAAGGTCACTTAGGTTTTAGCAAATCCAAACAGCAGTTATCCCGCACCTGTGGACTGTGTGGGTGGATAAGCCGTGCCCCTTTAAACCAAATGAGCAAAAATCATGTACCCAGTTGGGGTTTATACTGGCTAAGCAAGAGCGCACAACCATCACAAGTCTTCGAGTTCTGTCGCCAGCTCCAAAGCCGAAAGAGAAGGCGGAGTCACATAGGTTTTCCTGTGTGTTCAGCAGGCACACCAAGTGTTCAGCCAGGCACAAAGCTTTTCGCATGCCACCCCTCTCCATCTCTTGAGAGGCCAGGCTCTCGCACCAGACCGGCATCTCCTGACACCACCTATTTATTCCGAAGCTCACTGCTGGAGAAAGGAGCAGACAGTGTTCTCCAGGAAGGGAACGTTGGAAGCATCGAATTTTTGGCTAGCCACCGAAGTCATCCGAATGATGCTAAACCCTGATAATTAGGGCAACCCCCAGATTTTAACTAAAAGTCTGCTTTTTATGTTTATTGAATCAAAGTGTACCTTTGCCGCTCGGAAGAAGAATAGAACTGGACAGACAGGTTCCACTTGTAAATAGCTGGGTACCACTGCGGATCAATCTCTACCCCATACAGTGCTGTTAACACATCATTGTCCAATTTTGATGGCTGCTCCCTAGGAAGAGGAAGAAAACCATTAGGAAATGAGGTTCTGGCAACTACTCATTCTTGTAATCCCCAATGGGCACCCCATCTGGATTTTTACAATTGGACTGTCTAATGCAGACAACTAGGTGAAAAATCAACCTCCCTCTGAGTGAGAATGAGGATTTACAGACAGATGCTCATCACCTAATGACTGCAGCAGAAAGTACTAATTGTATTACAGATCAAGCACCATATTTCTCTGTGTCTCTTCAATATTTCCAGTAAATCCATCTGTCAAAGAATAAAAGGGTAAGCATTTGTGTGAAGAACATATTCTTGAATCATCGTAGATGTTTTGCCGACATATGAAACTTTAAGCAAGCTAACTTGTGAAAAGTGCATGTGTGCATTTATAACCGAAAACTGTAGTGTTTGGTAGAACAGATTCCGACGCTCTGCTGTTTTCTGAACCTTACACTGACCAGATAACATCACCAGAACTGCCAGCAGCACACTAGAGAACCTCTAGAAATCTTCTTTACCGTAGTTTTTTATTATGATCCAGTGATCAGGGAAGGCCTTTTATGGACTTACTAAATTACACTGAAACAGTTGATTTCTTCACTTATCATTCAAATAACTGTTCCACGATTAACAAAATCACTTTCTGAAAAAAATACATATCCCTCTTTTATCAACGCCCCAGCAAATATATTCATCCTATTAGCACGGAGGGATACAGATATTTTCAGGAGACACAGATTTATCTTAGGACACTTCACAAGTGTTTCCCAGAGTGACACCAGTGGCAGTTAGGAAAATCACATGTGCACCACACATTTAAAGCTGATCTTATTCAGGGTATCTATGCCCTGCTAACCAATTTCTGCAGTACATGCCACAAGTGTGGTTTGCCATCATGAAAAGTGACATCTGAACTAGAAAGGATGTGAAATTTACAAGCAGAGAATTTCTTGAGAATCTGCCGATACCTTCATAAACATAGAGCGCACTAATAAGTGGTAAATGAATACCACAGACCAGGAAGTTCAAGACATTTTCTGCAATGGAATACAGAGAAGGCACTAACATCTGTTTCATACCCTAAGAGAAACAGCCGTCTTCCTTTCTCATTGGAGGATGGAGAATTTAGGGAACACTGTGAAGACACCTCCGACTGCGATTTGGAACTGCAAGACTGTTGCCCTTTCTCTCCCCAGACTCCATTTTCTGCTGATGCGCTCTTCGTTTCCAGATGCGTTTCCATTTCTGTCCTTGTTGTTGCCTCCTCAGCTTTTCCAGCCGCTGCACCTGGCTTGGGAAGCGGTGAATATGCCAGATCTTTACATTTTCTTAGTGGCCTCGTTCCTTCCCCCTGGCTTGGCTTCTCTGATAAACTTTCAGCTCCCAGTATCTGGTCCTGGCAAGCCAGCTTATCAAATTCTTCCATTAAATTGGAGACGGGTGATGCAAAGCACTCTTCCTCTTGGCTTGGATGTCTCCTGTGAGGGCCAACAATTCTATCACTGGCCACAGGGCTACAAAATCCATTTTTACTAGCAGGAGGCTCTTTGTCTGCCCGCGCACCGGAGTCTTCTCCCATCTGTATTATGTTTTTCATACACTGGATGGACAAGATGTCGCACTCTGAGTTTCCAATATCCCTGATTGTTGATTCATGGGGTGCAACCGCTCGGCTGTAACTTCGAGCAGCATTTTGCCTATTCTTTACTTCTTCCAAACTCATGTCATCATCATCGAGAAATGCTCCAACAGAGATGGAATTGCAGCTTTTCTTACTTTTGCCTGTAAAATATGATAAAAGAATGTTGACATCTGACATCTTATTAAACTGGTTTCCATCATCTTTGTAACTCAGTTTGCCTTTGGACCTCAGACAGACCAAGCAAACGGTCCTAAGAAACCAATGCATAATCCTGCAAATAAGGCTACTAATACAGGTGTTTGATTCTTTAAGATTAAGGATCTCAGATTCTATCCCACTCAGTTTTTTCTACTTACCGTAACTTGGGATTTTAAGACAGACTACCAACTACCAACTATTATTTAGCAAGTAGACCCTGATTTTCTAGGTGACATGCCAGCAAGGTAAGGATTGCAGTTTTTTAAATCTTCAAGCAAAATCATTACTGGATGGTGGACTCAATAATGCTGAACTGGTTAAAAGCAACACAGGAGAATTCCACATGGCTTGTAATTAAATAGTAGTTAGGCAAGGTAAAAAGCTGGCTGGAGCTGTTTTGTACACAATTCTCAAACTCCCGAGAGAGCCAGTTAAAGAAAATATCTTTAAAAAAAAGTCAGAGACCCGAGGAAAAAGTCCTGAGGCAACTAGGAAAAAAAATATTGTTGAAATGTCTGAGAATTTCAGCAACCAAGGAGTTCATTTAGTAGCCCAATTTGAAGAAAATTGGTAGCCCAGGAAAAGTACCAGCACATGAAGGAAAAGTACCAGCACACAAAAGCACAAGAAGGAAAAGCACCAGCACATTTCAAGAGATAACTAAGGATGGAGGACTTCCAAGGCTGCAAATCCAACTGACCACCCAATTCAGCAAAAGAAAGATTCAGCTTAGGAGAAAGGCAGATCCAAGCGATGAAGAATGGTTTCATAATGTATGCATATTTGTTAGCTGCAAATATACAAATTAACAGCAAATCTCCAGGCCTGTATAGTGGTGCCCGTATAGCGAGGTTAATCCGTTCCAGATTAACCTTCGCTATGCGAAAACATCGCTGTACGGGGCAAGGAAAGCCTATTGGAACGCATTAAACTTAGTTTAATGCGTTCCAACAAGCGTCCAAACTTACCCCTCCAGCGATGTTAATGGCTGCGGATGACTCAAAATGCCCCCCGCAGCGTTTTCGCGACCTCGGTAAGCAAAATGGCCGCCGGACGCCCCAATCGTCGCAAAGCGAGTGCGGCGATTGGGGCAGCTCCGTATAGCGATCCCCAAAAAGGGATCGCTATACGGATTCTTCGTTATACGGTGCGCTCGTTAAGCGAGGCACCACTGTACTTCTGTGCCCTTGGCTATTAAATATAAGCCTGACACTGAGATATTTCAAAACTTGAAACAGTCTGAGAACTAAAGAATCCTGAAAAGTAATCCACTGAGCTATCAAACATCATCATTATTTAAAAATACTTCATTTTTACCCGAAAGCTGCTGAGATTTATATCTGTGGAGGGCTTCATTCTCTCCTGTTTCTTGCTGAACCTTGTCTCTCAATTCGCGTTGAGCCAGGTATTCTTCTAGCTTTTGTAACCCCTCCTGGGAAGACAGATCAACAAAACAGCCCAGAAATTCCCAGTATTCAACCCACGGGAACCCCAGCTCATGAGCTAACTCCCTGCAATAAATAAGATAGAACGGATCATTGTGAAGACATTGAATTAGATCAACAACAATTGTTCTAAAACATGTTTCTAAACAGTCAACCCATAATTATACAAGCCCCCGAATTCTTTTAACAAATGAATCATGTACCATTACAAGCCTTTATCAGAGAATCAGTTTTAATTTTCCTAGTTAAAATGCTCACATATAAAATCACTGTTAGAATTTCTGGCTTGTGCTTTACAGTCAAAGTACATGAGCATCAACTGGGGGGAAAATACCAAAATCAACATCTTTTAATCAAATAAATGCTATTTCTTTGCTATAAAGAGAATCAAACATATATCACATGAAAGACTCTTAAACCAGGTGGATAAAAAAATCACTGATTTCTAAAAACCAAATTGATTTAAATCACCATTTGACTCAAAATCATTTTAATTTCAATTGTAAAAATAAAATTATTTTTTTTTTAAAATCCACCTTGCTCTTAAATACAAATATGAATTTTTAGAGTATTAAATGAAAATAAATAACCAGAGAGAGACGTCTTACAAAATAAACATAACTTCAACATGGAGCTGGAAAATCGTTAGCAAGATGGAGAATTGTTAGCAATTGCACCCTGCAAAATCCCCAGGCTTTCCTGCTTAGTATTACTTCTGCAGCACATAAAGCCCCTACAAATCATACAGTATATCAAACAAACATGTCCAAGCAGCAATAAGGCGTCTGTGATGGTTCAAAAAGTGTATGTGCATATTTGTGTATGTGAATGAATGAGTAGGGACAAAGACATGTGTGTACAAGGATCTATTCCAACATGGAATTAACACCGCATAAGGCATGGACACAGAAGTGAAGGAAGAACAGGAAGGGGGATGAGCTGGAGGTTATTAAGACGCGGGAGAAAAGCTCGACACTGGTGTTGAAAACTGGAAAGTAAGGGGAAGACATGAAGGCTACAAAATGATTTTAGCAATGAATTCTGAGTTGAAGCGAGGCCAAGAAAGAAGAGGCTGCATTAGTAAAATAATGGCCCTAGTAGCAGAGATATGACCAAGGCTGTACATTGTTAGTGCAAGTATAGAAAAGGGAAAAGATTCAGCATTCCCAGAATCTTAAGTTTTCATTCATTGCTCTTATGGTTGCAGAATTACTGCTGGAAACAAGCAGATGAAGAAGACAGGTGTGGCAGATGCTTCAAAGTCTTTCAGAATGGGCAAAATACAGCAATGATTTTCCATCTTTGAGCACGCCAATGCCTTTTACACAAAAATAATTTCCTTTCATACAGCCCATTACTACACTGTGTCGTGCACTGAGTATGAAATACCTTCCAACTCTTTCAACTCCTCTTTCCAAATCAGATTTCCGAAGATTGTGGCAATATCCTGCTTTCTCGCGAGGCGGAGTCTTCCAAAGCCGGTGGAATTCTTCTGCCTTTGAGAGGAAAAGGGGAGGGAAGAATTTCAAATCCATACTTCTAGAGCAGATTGAATTTGTCCTTTCCTAACCTTCTAAATTAAGTATCTCCCTAGAGAGTGAAAACCTACTAGCGCTCACATCTAAAAACTGAAGTTAGCCTAGGGCTGCAGTGCAGGATTCACTGGAACTTCACTTCCTCCCAAGTCAAAATTTTACCAGCAGAAGATCTGAATGATATGGGGCAAACGTCCAGTGTAGCTGCTTGTAATATCAGTACTCTTTCCAGGTCCTGAGATGGATTATTATAATGACTTAGAGCCCTTCCAACAGGATCTAACACTGCTTTTGTAACATGGATAGAGATGGGAGTATTTGTACACGAATATCCCTGGGGCCGGACGGTCCACTGGGTGATGCACTAATGTTGCGGGGTCCGCACTCCCGTCCTATCGCACTGGAGATAGTGATCGCTGAGCCATTCCTGGCAGGAGGCAGGAAGACAAGCCTCTCTGACAGGTTGAAGAGTGGCTTGGCGATCGCGACCTCCAGCATGATACGACGGGAGTGCGGGCCACGCGGTATTAGCGCATCAGTAAGTGGACCGTCCAGCCCCATGGAGCCAGACCTTCATTCCACCTGCGCGGGGATATTTGTATACCTCTTCTCTAAACATGGGTCATCAATAGTAAATTTTCTACTACTATTACCTACTTTTAAAACCTACATCTATATAACCTAAAACCAGGAGATTTTTCAAAATTTATCTGACTAAGTTAAAGGTGCTTTTGTTTTACCTGTGAAATGCAGACATATGGCCTGTGTTTACCTTAATGAGAAAAATGTTCTATTGTTTCTGTTCTGGATGTGCCTCGTTAAGCTATGTTCTTTTGATAGAAAAGTTTGCAGGATTCTAGAAATCTTTGACTATCTGTATAGATGAGTTATCAGCAGTCTACAATGCCATGTAAACATGAGGACATCAGCCATTAACAAATACACACTTCATTTTGTAGTAGATAAAAAAAGCTGTTGAATTTTTCAACCGTTTTAAGCTGTTAATTCTCCTCAAACAATATTTTTCTTTTGTCTTTCACTAGAAATGAAAAAGTTGGTCAATAATATCTAATATTGCAACCGCCTCTTCCACAACTCACTCCTTTATAAAACAATTTAACTCCCTGAACTTTTTTGTGTTTACCCGGTGATACGGAAGAGCAATTAAAATTCTCTGCAATCCAACAACATGCTTGGTTACACAAAGTGGAAGAAATTCTGGGGAGCTATCATTTTGTTAGTTGCAAAAGAACACACAGAGTTTGATGTTAGCTAAACAATTTTAATCTTTCCTAAACACGCTTACAATGAATCAGGGTTTAGAGACCAGTCCAGGAAAGCACAGCTGATGTGATACATGAATTTCTATCTTGTGTTTCTTAAATCAATCACATTATTCTGGAGCTTGACTTGTGATGCACGTAAACACCGATTTGTGCTGAAAATAACCTGAGTATTCTTCATAACTTACACAAATTTCCCGGTTTTCATCAGAGTTCATTTTAGTCCAGACTAGAGATGGACATGAACCATCAGTTTGGTGGATTGTGCCACTTCATCCTTTGGACAAACAGTTCCCAGCCCTGCCTTCTCTGGTGGGTGCCCACTTAGAGACAATGGTCCAGCTTTCCTGCTTGCCTCCTCTGGGTGCTGCCTCCAAGAGGGCGGCTGCTGGAGGAGGCAGGACTGGGAAGTGGTAAACACCTGTTCCACTGAAAAACAGACCAGCACAAACTGCTGAACTAGTGGTTCGTGCCGATCTATAGGCCAGAGTGAAAAAGATCATAATTATGCTAAATCTGTGGGTATCCACAGACAGATAGACTAGGACTTCGCAAGGTAAAGGTTCCCCTTGACAATTTGTCCAGTCGTGTCCGACTCTAGGGAGCACTGCTCATCCCCGTTTCCAAGCCATAGAGCCAGCGTTTTGTCCGAAGACAATCTTCCGTGGTCATATGGCCAGCACAACTAGACACAGAACGCCGTTTCCTTCCCACCGTGGTGGTCCCTATTTATCTACTCGCATTCGCATGCTTTCGAACCGCTAGGTTGGCGGGAGCTGGGACAAGCGACGGGAGCTCACTCCATTGTGTGAAGAAGCAACTTGGATGAGTAGCGAAACGTTTCAACCTAACAAGCAAGAAGTCCAGTTGCCCTTACTCAGCTTCCAGATAACCCCACCTGGATGACTGAGAATCTTCACAGATATATTTACCTTTAAGGTGTTAAGTCGGCATATAAGAAGGTAGTGCCAACTTGATAGCACATAACTAACTAATGCTACCTCTGTAAGGTGTTAAGTCGGCATATAAGAAGGTATGTAAGTTAGTGCCAACTTGATGGCACATAACTAACTAATGCTATCTCTCATCAGAAGGGAATACAAGAAGACTCTAAGAATAATTTCCAATAGCCGGATGCAACAGGCACACTGTAAGTGACCCTACAAAATACTCCTGGTCCTGACATTGTACTATGTTGTTGTATTTTTGCTCTCCTAAAACAAAATTAGGAAAGTGCTTAGTTTCACCTCAATCCAAGTCTGTGACGGACAGAAGCAAGGGAAAAAGAAAAGAACTAGAGAAAGTGTTTTGGTTTGCTGGTTTGGTTTTCACCGTTTCCATTACCTTGGAAGGGCTCATTGGGCCTGCATAAGCCCTCACTGTCAACACAGGATCTTTAGGGCTGCCAATATATCTCAGTAAAGCACCATGCGGACTATCGTCTGTCTGGTCAGGTGACCAAGGTGGTCCAATCACAGGCGGCGAGGCATTATCTTCTGCTCTGAAGAGTGGCACGTAACACTGACCTAAATTAGAAAGAAAGTGAAAGAAAGTTAATATCCAAGATTGTTTAATACTGAAACGCTGGCCATAGGTTCATGCTGTTCAAATCCAAAGCTGTTTTTATTTTTACCAAAATCACTGCATAGACACAGTTAATTTGATACTGCTCGATCCCTATGCCAAGTTCAATTTGGTTAGTTCAATTTGGTTTTGCTCCCCGGTAAATCATGGATTGTTTGCTCAGCATCTCTGAATAAAGTGAATAATGAATGAGATTACTAGGGTAGTATTTTGCTTCTGGAAACTCTATAATGATCAATTATGAGTATTCCAAACACCAACCTTCCAAATATTCCCTGATTTTCTCCTTCAGATCTGCAGATTTGTTTTTGCTTCTTTCACATACTACCTGTTTAAAAAAAAACCACAGAAGTATTTCTTTAAAAAGAACATAACCTCACATTTTGTACTCACTCATGCATTTAACAAAGAGAAAACATGCTTTCACAATCACTGCTGTCATATGTCTTAAGCAATTAATATTTTTCCCCTTTTAATAACACACCAAACTAAAAATTGAATGGTTATTGCCACATACAGGCCCACAATTACTTTCTAATCAAACGAACTGGAACAAAACAAGAAGATTCTTCAGGCCTGATTTGCTACACCTGTGATCTATTTTGGCCGTGGCAAAAAAATAAAAATAAAAAATAAAGTAGACCTCAATGAGTTATTACAGATGGGGATGAATGGCTCAGGTGGCAGTTTGTACTGGTTTGTTTTTTGGCCACAAACAAGTGCTCAGTGCTTCCGAGCCCTACCTCCTCTGGCAGATGCCCATTCAGGGGCAGCGCCTGGAGGAGGCAGGGCGCTGACTTAGTGGGCACCTGCCAGGGGTGGGAAGCATTCAATACCTGTTCGGCTAAAACACGGACCCACACAAACCGCCGTTTCAGCAGTTTATGCCCATTCTCTACTCATGGCCATGCATATTTTTTACTACGAGTAAAAAAAGTATTCTGAGTAACATCGAAAGCTTTCTGTTCTTTCTTTTTCATACTAAAAACACACTCCGATATTATAGCAAGCAACCACGGTTGCTTGATGTCAACGAGTAGCAGCCTTACTATCTTAAGTCTTGTCAGATGACCTCTTATTACATGAGAGAGGTCTTGGTCAATTACAAATATAAATAAAGATTTATGTAGATGAGAAGTCTAGATGTTTACACAGACCAAATCAAGTCAGTGACAATGGCTTTTTCAAAGACAACTTACGTCTGCTGGAGTTTGGTTGGATTTGTTCCTTGGGTTCTTCACAATATCCGGGTGCGAAGCAAGCACACTAACAACCTCGGGATTCCCAAATTTGCAAGCAAAATGAAGTGGGGTGTCAAATCCCTACCAAAAGAAAACAGCAATATTTTTTGTATTTTGGAGCTTGGGAGCTTAGGGATTAATTTATGTGCCTCTGGGCGCAGGTCAATAAGCACCCTTATAATTAAGTATGTTTAGAAAAGCACAATATACAGTACATGGTACTAGATTCAAATGAAATCAAATCTCACATTTCCACCTCTGGGCGCAGGTCAATAAGCACCCTTATAATTAAGTATTAGAAAAGCACAAAATATATACATGGTACTAGATTCAAATGAAATCAAATCTCACATTTCCACTAGAATCAATTGCATTGGTTAAGCCATTATTAAATTTCCGCATTAATTCAACTGCAAACCTACACTCATTTATCCTGGCAAATGAAATCAAATCTCACATTTCCACTAAAATCAACTGCATTGGTAAAGCCATTATTAACTTTCCGCATTGATCCAACTGGCTTTGAGTGCAAACCTACGCTCACTTATCCCCTTGACATTTAGTCCAGTCGTTCCCCTTGACATTTAGTCCAGTCGTGTCCGATTCTAGGGTGCAGTGCTCATCCCCGTTTCCAAGCCATAGAGCCAGGACAAGCAACGGGGGCTCACTCCGTTGCATGAATTCGATCTTACGACAGCTGGTCTTCTGACCTTGCAGCACAGAGGCTTCTGCGGTTTAACCTGCAGTGCCACCACATCCCTTATTATCCTGGCAACCTGCAGTGCCACCACATCCCTTATTATTATCCTGGTGTAGGTTCCCATGAATTTAGTAGGTTTACTGTTGAATACACATACAGGATCGCACTGCTTATCTATTCTGAAACTAGCAAGTTGTTCATATTACTTGATCATTGCTAACAAAACAACCAATACAATATTGAAAACTCACCATCTTATCTGGTGTATTAAGATAAAGGTCAACAATATATCTGATGCGCTTCTGTAACATTATGCTGTCATCATCAGGATACATCAGCCGCATAAATTCAGGATTTTCCAACGTATCCAACAGCAACCGGCAGATACCAGGCTGATTCTCTCTGGCGGCAACGTGCATGACATTGTATCTACAGCCTTCCTAAAATATAAGATACCTATTCATCATATGTAACATCTTACAGATTTGCTGCAGTTTGTGAACAGACCTATAATATCCTTACTAGAAATATGTATATTTTATATGTAAAAGAAAAAAGGAAACAAATATTTTACTCTTTTTGAACTATTCCTTCTACCTGCAGAATCATACAATGCCAGCTAACTTTCCGGTCTATGGATTGGACATGCATTAACTTTAATCTGGTTTAAATGCAAGCCGAAAATTAGTAGGAAGCTTTATTAACCTAAGCTACAATTCCATTGAGCAACTGAATACTGACAATCTGACAAATGGTTAGGACTGAAAACATTTGTGAAATCTAATTATCTAGAGCATTATGCATCAACATTATCCCCGAATATAAAAATGAAGTCACAAGAATATGGAGTGCTAGCGAAGTCCACTAAAAATACACTCCAAGTACCAGACTTCCTTCATGGTTAAGAAAGTGTAATCACTGCACGTCAAACTCCACCCCTTTCCCTTCAGTGGCTGTGGTCCTCGACTCAAGCTCAGAAACAAAACCTTCTTGAATCGTACATTTTTCTGAAGCAATCCTATTGGGTTATAACCAGCAAACAAAAATCAGAACCTTAAAACATAGCACGATGTTGAATGGTAATTGAATTTAGCTGCTTTCTCTCTGCTTTTCCAGAAAAACAAGACTCAACCACGGACCGAGGGTTGAGGTCCTCTGATATAAAGGACCTGCATGCATGCATCACTTATGTCAAAAGTCAGACAATTCCCTTACCTGCACAATTGTTGGGTTATCTCCAGACCCAATGAGATAGCGAGGATTGCTCCAAATAAGTTCCAGAAAAGCTGTTTCATCTCCTTTCTCAACAGCTTTCCTTAGTTTAGCAGTGAGATCCTGCGTACGGGGACTTTTATAACTGTTGGCTCTTTCCTTACTAACTGTTTCCATCTCAGGAGAGCATAAGCCATCTATGGAAATTAAAGCCATTTTTCAGTCACAATGTGATTCTGGTTTGGATTCTCAAGCCAAAAAGATGTAGAGGGAGTACTTCAGCATTTCTTTTTTCAAACTGTTTGAGGAATCCGTATGTTCCGTGTCATATTAAAGATCTGAAACTGATTTTTAAAAGCAAAAAATACCACCCCCAGCCTTGACAGAGTTTAGTCTAAAGGTCCCAACCCCTGAAAGGCGCCAGAGGGAGTCAAAGTGGAACACATCCACTTACCTCTATTGAACCCGGAACAAACTTTCACTGGAGACAAAGACAAGGAGGACTTGCTTGAAGATGGGAAACCATCACATATGCCTTTGGCAAATTTTTCTGCATCCTCCCTATTTGAGAAAGCTTTGAACCGTGAGCCTTTTATCATTTTAACAGCTTGCAAAGCTTCTTTTTTATCTTCATACACATGCACACTCTCTGGAACAGAAAAACCATTTCAGCAACTTAATTTCTTTCCATGACTACAGTTGTCAAGGCCACACAATCATCAACATCATCGTTATCACAGAACTATACAGCCGGAAGAAACCCTATGGACCATCATCATCATCTTAGAACTGCATAGGTGCAAAGGGCCCGATGGATCACAGAGTCTAGCTCCTGTCAAGATAGCACAGCTGAGAATCCAACTCCCAACCTCTGGCTCCACACCTAGATACTTAAAACCACTGAATTAATCAGGAATTTGTTGTTCAACAGATCTGGCCTTCTGCTTTTGTTCCCTGATTCACCTAAACTGCTTAATCCTGGGAAAATTTGCTGCAGAAAATAAATCAATTCAGATTGGCTTGCTGAGTATCATTTTTAAGAGTCTGAAATTCAGAAACCACTTTATGTAGCTGTCCAGGGCCACAGCATCCATTCTGACATTTGAAAGATCTTTCATCTAAACAGTACAACAGTGATAGAGCAAGTCTCTGCAGCTTTCTGTAAGAAAAGCTTGGCTTATGCTCTTGTTACAAATTATTCCCATCAAGGCTATGATGCAACCTTGAGTCATTCTCCTATCAGTAAACAAATCTACTGTTGCAAAGACAATTTTGTGAACAATTCCCTACTAAGTTATTTCAAGGTGACACTGTCAAAAACTTGAACAAATTTCTCAAGGTTAAGACACATCAGTTGTTCAAAGACATTTAATTATGGGTCCAGCAAAGAGACATTAGGAAGCTATGGTTTCTCACAAGACTGCAAAAGCCACTCCATCTGCTTCTGCAGTTATGTGGACACTAGAAGCGTCTACTTTGGCATTACTAACATTCTTGTCACATCTGAAGCCGAGGAACCATGATAGACAAGCCATGATCTTGGCTTTCTTCCCATAAACCAGTTCAAAGAACATGCACACCCTTCTGGATGTAACAGAAAATCATAGTTATTTCAACAGTGGAAACAAAGGTGAACCTGCTACTACTCACATCTTTCGCTTTGGGCCAGCTGGTCACACCCCCTCCTGCCCACTTAAGATTAAAGCAGCATCAGTAATCCTAACACATCGCTTCTAGATAAATCACTTTTTAATCATCAACAACAAAAAAGAGCACTTTCTTTTGACACTGTGTAAGAGACTAGTGATAAATTCTAAAAAGAGATTTATGATAATTTCCCCTCACATATCAAGAAAAACAAAAAATGGGAAAAAAGAGAAACCAACTTAATACCATTTTGCCTAACAGCAAAAGGTGTACATAAGATCAGTATGAAAATTATATTGGAAGGAAAATGGCAAATTAGAGAGATAATTAACATTACCTGCTATCGCAGGGCAGCAACTAATCATGTAATATCAGATTTATGTATATTCAATATAGCTGCAGAAACATTTCAAAATGTGACAGTGTTCTCATATGCTAAACATTGATCACCAAAGTTTATCCCGCACAAAGTGTGCACAGAACTGTGACTGGGTCTCAAACACTTTAGAGTCTGTCTGCGAATCTGTTAGACAAGCCTTGGCTGTTATGCATTGTGCTTCCCAAAAGCACACTTCCTCATAGGGAGAACTGAATCTTCTAATTCAGATACTTCCAAGGAGAATTAGGGGGAAAGGCCATGTGATTTAGGATTACACAAATGCAAGAGTTGGGTGATACCTTTACTGAACCACTAAAAAACCCTATACAAATTGCAAGCTTTTGTATGGGATGAATCCAGACCCAGGTTGCAAAGTCAGCCAGGAGGTATGGCCTCAAGCATCCTCATGTTTCACGAGCAAGGAACTGCATGGTATGAAGGGCAGAGGTAGAGAAATTAGCAAATCCTTTGTTTGGAGTTTGGGATGGAAAATTCCAACCAAGCGTACAAGGGAGGATGCTTGAGACCAACTTTGCTGGATTCACCTCACATAAGCAGCCTAGCTACAGACATCTGCCATGAATTTTTTGGACAACTTTTTTCTGCACTGTCCATAAAACGGTGATGCATAGTCTGAGGAAGTGGGATTCTATGCATGAAAGCTTGCAGTTTGTGTGATTTTGTTAAAAGAGTCAACTCTTGCATACTTCCAAAGTTTACAATAGCTACTGAAAGTTTCCTCATCAGACCTTCCCTTCAGTTTACCTACAAACAGGAATTTGCAAAGAATACTGAAACACATGTGATAATCCTGCAAGAATAAAGTTTTTTTTTTTAAAAAACAACAACTGAAATGTTAGGTTACCTAAACAGGGCACATAAGAAATCACAAAGTTCTGCTTTTACTGTTACTTTGGTTTTATTAGGTTTATTATTATGTTCATTTCAGCAGGTTCTCCTTTGTTCAATCTTGGTGTTTTTCTTGGAATAACTGATAGGTCAGTGAAAAGGTGGGGTAAAAATGTGTCAAGGAACCAGTAACTAGAATTCCTAAGATGTTCAATTCATCATCTCAGACAAGTTTTCTTATGCAAGGCATATCTGCTCTAATGTTCAACTTCAACACTAGTGCAATACCAGAAACAAAAATAGGATTACCATTTCTTGCCAACATATCATCATAAACCGGACATACGCCGTAGTACAGCAGAGGCTCCTTAGATGGAGTCTGAGAAGTCATCCGAGAGCCAACCTCAGTCTTGTGTAACAAGGCTTCCTCTTCTGGTGGGTTCAAACCTATATTGTATCCAAAATCACCATCCTCGGTTGAGTTTACATGCCCATTTTGATCCTTCTGTGAGTTCTGGATTTCAGAATGTTCAGCATCAGCTCCAGGTACACCATTCAAAATTGGACTTTCTGTTTCGAATCCTCCTTGCTTTTCCAGTAATGACTGGGCCAATCTTTTTTCCAGAATAGATCTGGTGGTTAGCGTAATGGGCCCACACTTCTGTCCAGCCTTGACAATTTCTTCCCTGAGCTCATCAGGTGTTAGTTGCTTTAGCCGTGACAATATATTGTCCATTGTTACTGTCCCTGTAAAGGAAACAAAATCAATGTGAATTGTCTACATTAAGTTAGAGGGAAACACACACACACCATAAGTTCCATCTATTCTGGAAAGATTGGACCACCACAAGTTACTTGGTTATTAAAAACAGGGCTAGTGACTCAAAAAAGGTTGGGAAATGCTGCATTAGACTTTCTTGAAACTATGGGGAGCCTTACAACTCCAGGGTTCAGGAAGAGACAGCAAGAAGATACCCTCCCCAACCCACAACTAATATTCTTTCTGGCCCCTTAACATATGTCCACTCTTGCCTTAATCATTATCTTCCCACCTGGCTGATTGAGGAACAATGGAAATAGAATGGCCCATTTGCCAAGCAGAAAGGAGATGAGCAGACTATTCTAAGATGATTGCTTTTCTGGAACTCCTGACAATCCTTTTAGTAAAAAACCAAAAGGAGTTATTTAATTTATCTGGTCTCTCTATATAAGGCTTATTCTGTGAGATGACTATTTGGCTGGAGGCATTCTTGTCTGGTCATTTATCTGGTCTCTCTATATAAGGCTTATTCTGTGAGATGACTGTTTGGCTGGAGGCATTCTTGTCTTTTATGTAATGTTGATGTGCAACTCCCAGAAACCCCAGCCAGCAGAGCTGATGGTGAAGGCTTAACAAAGGTTAAGAACCACTGTTCTATGTAATGTTGATGTGATTCCTAGTGTGGTGTAGAGAACAGAGTGATGGACTAGGACTCTGGAGAACAGGGTTCAAACCACCCCTTAAATGTCTCACTTACGAAAAGCCCTAGTAGGGTTGTTAAGTTAGTTCTGGCTTGACAGCACAGAACACACACACATATCATTTTCTTAGGAATCACTTAAAGCTATATTCCTGCCATTTCCTCTTGAGGGCTTGGCCCACCTTGAGACTATTTCTTCTCCACAATTTTTCCAGTTAAAATAGTCTGTGTCATGCACATACATTTCTAGGCAGGAGTGAGACACTGCAGTGGTAATAGTACAAACCTGTCCAGCTGGGTAACAAAAGTCATTCCATTAACATTATTGTAAGATGCAATAATAGTTGCGCTGCATTTCAAACTGAAAGTGCAGAGAAAACCAAGATCTCCCAAAATTTACTAACTAGCTCTTGACGACAGTGACCCAGTCAGCCTCTTACAGTGTGTTAATTCAGAAGAGGAGAACTGCTATTCAAATTACCAGGTCAACCAAGACTTCAGTATTACCTCATCCTGCCAGGGACGAGACTGCACTGCTCCAGCCCTCCCTTGCACCCATTTCATTTTAAAAGCAAAACACTTGGGTCTGCACAGAACAGTATGTGCACTCCATGGAGAGCACAGAGCTCTTATTAAACCAAGCATAAAAATAAACTTTGCTAAAAGTCACCGCTGGGAATACTTTTTGCCACATACAGTCACAAGGGAAACATTTATCGGCTCCTTAGATGCAGAGTTTATTAGAACTCCTTATGAAGGCCATCTCAACTTTGCTTATCCAGTAACCATCACAGAGGTTAACTGTATGAGGTAGGGGAAACTTTCGCATTCAGCTTCATTTGGTCATAACTGGTGTAAACTTCATGAACACTGCGCCAGGAACATACACTATCTTGCAACTCCAGCTACAATACACACTTTGNCCCCCCCCCCCCCCGATCAATTATAGTCTATTAACAGTGATACCTGCTTAAGAAAGTGGTCCTACCATGAGTGATGCCTATGTGATATATAAACAAATTGGACAAATTAAAATAAAAGGACTAACAATATTTTTCCATGCTTACAATTCAGCACAGATCCAGGACATGTGCAGATCACACTGTGGAATTTCAGGTGAGCTCAATCATTCCTAAGAATAACGAGGTCTAACTACTTCTTGCTCCTTCAAATTTTTATACTCTCCTCCACTTTCCAGATCATTCTCCACATTTTCACCAATCACCTTCCAAGTCCCAGAAAAAAAAGTAATTTATGTTAAAGTAACTTCGCTCCTTCCCCCTCCTTGACACCTGATATTCTTATCAGATGGCAATGCCCTGGGAAAAGAGGATGTTTTATGATCTTGATTCCATGACTGAATAGTTATTTCTTCCCATCCTACCTTTTCATTTCATCAACTGCCTGACCCATCATCCCCATCAGGTTCAGTTTCTTGACAATATGAATGAGAGAAACACAACCGTAAATGCAATGCTTGCTTTTCATCGCACTACAGCACAAGCAATTCTATTAAGTATAATGACTTGGATTATGAAAAGGGGTTTGAAATATGCCCCTTTCAGGTCTTCTCAGTGGCTGCTCCCAGGCTTTGGAACGCACTACCCGCTGTCCGATGAAGCCAATTTTAACCCCCTTCTATCCTGTCCTTCTGTTGTCAAGCAAAGAGCTTCCTCTTCAGGCAGGCCTATAAACAGAAAGTTATCTCAAGAATGTGGGTTGTTAGCTTACAGATTTTCAATGGTTTTTATCTGTTTTTCTACTTGATTGTTTTGATCTTAATGTATGTTCAACTGTTTTTAAGTGTGATGTTTATATAGAGATTTAAGATTTCTTATTATACCTGTTGTGAGCCGCCTTGGGAACCCTGTGAGGAGATATAATATAATCTGCATGATGATAACAGGAAAGATTGTAGCTGTTAGACGTGGGATGTACAATACTACAGCATTCTATGTTTTTCCTCTTTCTGCCATCCCATTACTGCAAGCTGCATGAAACCAAGCCCAAACAGAAATCAAGACGGCATCTGAACTACCAGACAATTTATGCTGGGATAGCAACATTTCTGAAGACCGTAATTATTAATATGAAGGCGTTAATGACAGCAATCTGGGTCACTGAAAATAGCCTCTTCTTACGATAAGCCAAAAATTCTTCTCACACACATGCTGCTGTTACTTATGCTCAACACACCAAATCGTACATATTTACAGGATGATGAAACAAAATTAGGGAACACTCACAACGGATGTGCTCAACCCTCCCACAGTTTGTGCAGCATCTAAAGTTAGCAACAGGCATATTAAGCATCCTTTCACATCATAGTCATTCAGCATCTGGCAGGGGACTCTAGATCTGCTTCTCCTTTCTTACTTAAAAATAGAATGAATCAGAACTAAGAATTCAACCATAAAAGGAAATCTGGAACCAAATAACTGAAGTGGGTAGGTGGGAAAAAAGAACATTTCAGTGGAACAAGAACATCAGATATAATCAAATTAAATTAACCTTTGCTCTCTTTTGGGGGGGGGGTTGCAACCTTACTGGCCGCATTCCCAAGAACATAAAAGCCTTCAAGATTAGTTATGCATCAACAAAGAAGGAAACTAGTCTTCTAGGTATAAAATCATGTTACAGAATTTTCAGAATTCAACTTTCACCTTCTATTTCATTTTGGACTAAAAATAGTCAGACTCAATTCTAAATAGTTAAACTCACAAACTCTCAAAGGCTACAATGGCTAAAAACCTGTTGCGCAGTTGTTATTGTTACTACTATTATTTAAAAGATGCAAAAGGTGTAATTTTGGGAGGTGACTCATTACGCAACGGACAATGTCTATGGAGATTTCTTAACTGATGGTAACTTGCCTCTAAAAGCTATGCCTTTTGCACAATTGTGCAAAAGGATTTTGGCCAAAAATGAAAAATAGAGACCTCTTTCTTGTAACAAACCAGTTAAGATTCAGAGCTCCAGTCAGCTCAGAATAACCATGAATGGCAAATAGGCATTTAAATCCAAAAAGCCTTAATTGATGCTCACAAGAGTCCTCTCTCTGGAAGCTGTAGCACCACCTAGAAGACATTATGGATTCTCAAGATTATACACTTGGATTGCTCACATCTGCCAGAGATGACTACAATCTGAAAAAACAAACCACATCTCCTTATATTCACCAGGTAAAAACATTACTTTGACTTTAATTCAGCATATTTGGCTATTTCTACCTGGTGAATAATCAAATTAAAACTGGGTTTATAACCAAATAATAAACCTTGCTATGACTGCTATGTCTTTGTGTTGTTTTTCCTAAACCAGGCACTAAAAAGAAGGCAGTGTAAGGCGGGGGCAATCACAGAGTAACTGGCAAACTTTTGGTACCAAGAGAGAATGTAAAAATTCCAAACCATACCGCAAAGAGACAACAGCCTCAGAGGACTGATATCAACACTCACTGATCTACCACAAATGGAATTTTCTTCTTGAAAAATACTTGTTTTTTTTTAGTGGTCCAACAAAAGGTATCAGCTATTTTTGCACTTGCGTTCTCTCTCTCTATGCAGAGATGGGGGAAAGAACACCTTTTAATCTCACTGTACATAGCAGCAGGTCCTTAAGGAAAAGGTGTGTGCATCAGCAACAAACTACTATTTGCTGGTAATCAGTGAAATATCACTGTTCAAACTGTTTGGCTCCACTAACTGCAATGCTCAACCCACAGTACTTCAGCAGGAGGTTTCCAGGCATCTATCTTTTCAGATTTGAACAGAACAAATGATTTTCATCACAACAGATATGCTAAATGTCTTATCTGTGTTTAATGTTACCACTCGCCCAATGGTTTCTTAACAACCAGTAGTACAGTAAAATGAGGTCGGTAAAAGGGTTTGTTGGGGGGGGGGACAGCAATGTGTAGCCTGCATAATTAACTTGTAAACCACCCAGAGAGTGCTTGAAGCACTATGGGGTGGTATACAGTATAAGCAGCACGCTTTACTTTGCTTTTTACAGTAATAATTAAGGCTTGCACCTTTTGCATTTCAATTTCTTTGAATTCCCAGTCTTGAATAAGTTCCCTAAATCAAGCCGTTTGAAACAGGCCAAAGAGAAACACACACATAGAAAAAATTATCCAGAGACTCAAGTTACTGATCATGTTTGGGCATCTCAGGGCAAAAAATGCTCTTTAAAAGTACAAAGATAATTATGCTTACTATAATAACTGTATGTTGCCAATCTGATTCTGATCGAAGAATCACAACCCCTTTCGGGGTTTGCTAGTTATAAAATAGTAATTCAACATTCCCTTCTTCTGGGGTCCCCGTGACGATGCAGCTTGCCCAAGGCTAACTTGTCTCTTTGGATGCAAAGTGGGGAACTGAACTTTCAGCCTCTGGCTCCACAGCTAGATATGTAACTTATGATTTCTTGGGAGTATGTGTGCATGTGCAATTTACATAAATATAGATATGCTTTTATATATTATACAATATGCCAAATAAGGTAACATTTCATGCACCTGACAAAGTAGGTTCTGGCCAATGAAAGTTTAAGTCAGAATAAATCTGGCTTTGAGGAGCCAGAAAACATAGTTGTAGCTCTAGATACTGTCCCACGGATTCAGTATTAAGCACTAAATCAAAACTCTTAGTTAATAAGTAAATATGCAAAGATAACTAAGTCCTTTGTAGCTTCTTCAAATTTTTTGATAAGCACTACTCAGTAATGGAAGTAAGCAATATTTAATGATACTAAACAGAAGTAAAGCATATTAGAAATGCTTAGCTGGCTCTGAGTGGAGCAAAGGACCTGGAAGATGGAAGAAGCTCCATCAGGCACAATGAACCCATATGTTAGACTGCAACTGTCTTAAGTTACATTAGACAATAAAGTCTAAACCCAAATAATGCAGATCTCCTAAAGGGCTAATAATTTGAGATATATCATAACAATCAGAAACAAATACAGTGGTGCCTCGCTTAACGATTGCCTCATTTAGCGATTAATTCGCATAACGATGTGTTTTTTTAGAAAATAATATGCCCCGTATAACGATGTTTCCTATGGGCGATTTTCGCTTAGCGAAGTTTGGGACCATGCTTCGCATAACGAATGCGATTTTAGGTCCCCTGCTTCACTTAACGATGTTTCTTTTTTCATTTAAAAAGGTGTCTTAGAAGGGTCAAAAACGGTTCTAAATGCTTGGATTTGTTAGAGGACCCCCTAAGCCATGTGCAAACCTGATTTGGCTTTGATCTGACTTTTCGTTAATTTATGGTTAATTTTTTTTTCCGGCCCATAGGAATCAATGGACCTGTCAAAATCTGACAGCTCCATGCTTTCCTATGGGGGAGAAAACAATTCGCCATAAATTAACGAAAGTTCAGATCAAAGCCAAATCAGGTTTGCACACGACTTAGGGGGTCCTCTAACGAATCCAAGCATTTAGAACAGTTGCTGAGTCTTCATTAATTTTTTGTGAATTTTTTCTTCCCCCATAGGAAATAATGGAGCTGTCAGATTTTGACAGCTGTCAAAAGTTGGGGGGAAAAA